CCTAGGCTGATGTTGCTGGTGTAGGTTCCATGTCCATACATCCTAGGCTGATGTTGCTGGTGTAGGTTCCATGTCCATACATCCTAGGTTGATGTTGCTGGTGTAGGTTCCATGTCCATACATCCTAGGCTGATGTTGCTGGTGTAGGTTCCATGTCCATATATCCTAGGCTGATGTTGCTGGTGTAGGTTCCATGTCCATACATCCTAGGCTGATGTTGCTGGTGTAGGTTCCATGTCCATACATCCTAGGCTGATGTTCCTCTTGTAGGTTCCATGTCCATACATCCTAGGCTGATGTTGCTGGTGTAAGTTCCATGTCCATAGTGTTGAATAATAAATGGGGGTGTCATAAATGGGAGAGGAAGCACCCAACCCCACAGAGACTTGTAGTAAGATGGGGAGGGACCCAGGGAAGTCCACCCACTCAGAGAAGAAGGGGAAGGAGAAAGGCGGAAGGACTGTGGAAGGAGGTCACCAGGAAGAGGGGAGAGAGTGGGGTGTAAAGTGATTAAAAATAAACTAAATTAAAAAATAGCTAGTGAACAAAGAGGGATATTGTTAGAAAATATCGATGTTAATATTTTAAACGTACATGATAAAATGAGCCATTTAGTGTGTTACTGCCTTTTTAAAGGTTTCTTTAAGTTTTGAAAAGCAGTACAAATGGTCAATAAATACTAGAAGAAAAATGTTCAATACCCTTATGTAATGGAAAAAAGTGAAAGTCAGTGCCTTTATCCCAATCAGTGGGAAAACAGGATAACAAATGCTAACAAGCATGCAGGAGAACAGACACTTACCCAAAGATGATGAAAGTGCAAACTAGTATATTAACCAAGAAATGGTTGTGTGGTTCATTTACAAAACAGTACAACTCTACAATGAGGCTATACACTTCTTAAGTATATATCCAAAGTTAACATGAAGCAGAGATACCTTCATGTCTGTATTTATTGCAACACTAACCATAACAGCCAAGTTAAAATATGGCTGGCCCTGTCAATAGGTGAGTGGCTAAGTAAAATGTGTATAATTACAATTTTGTTTGCTGCCTCAATGTGGATAGAGTGAATTTTAAAGGACAGCAACTCTAGACAATTAATAGGTGCTGATAGAGAAAGAATTAGTCTTCTCTGAAGATGAGCCCCCTAATAAGTTAGCCAATCCCACTGAGTCAACCATAAACACATATGCATATAAACAACACTAAATGGACTAGGCCAGTTTTAACATATCTATGTATACATATATATATATATTATATATACACATATGCATAAAATAATAATAATTAAGGAAAAAATTAATAAACTGGTAGGGTATGGCGGTGACATCAAATAATTAAGAGTGTGAAGTACGGAGTGGAAATAATGTATATATGGTACTCATGTATGAAATTCTCAAAACCAATAATAAAATAAATATATAAACTGTGTGAACACACACACACTGAAGTAGAATTCTACCATATGAAAGAAAAATCATCATGATATTTGCGGGAAATACATGGTACTGGGAATTATGTGAAAGAAAATAAACTGTACCCTGAAAGGCAAATATATATTTTCTGTAATTCAAAATATAAACAGATAGATAGGTAGATAGATGATAGATAGATAGATGATAGATAGATAGATAGATAGATAGATAGGCAGAGAGATAGATAGATAGATAGATAGATAGATAGATAGATAGGCAGGCAGAGAGATAGATAGATATGGCATGAGAGTAGAATAGAGACTCTTTAGGAAGAAGAGCTAGACCTGTGCGTGTGAAGGGAAAACTGGAGAAAGTAGTATGAGGATAGTATAAAACTACACTATTTGTGTATGAAAATGTCACAATGAAACCCAAAAACATATCACAGAAAAGGGTGAAGGAAAAAACTTAATAAAAAATCATCAGGAGGAAAATTTATCCATGTGCTATATGAGAAGATTTATTATCCATTGCAGAAAACATTAATTGCCCCAAGCATTATTAGGATACAGTAGTCAACAATTCAAGAAGTTTAAGAAGAAAGAAAAAAAATTAAAAATTACATCTCCATCTTGATGCCTTAACACCTTTGATTTTTGTTATTAAAACAGTTCTAAATTTAAATTTAAAGCCAAGTGTATTTAAAATTATTAATGAAAAATAAAATTTGTAACTACCAAAAGAAGTTCAACATTCTTTAGTTAACTGAGATAAGAGGGCGTGGAAAGTATAATTTAATCCCAATAAAATATAAGTACTAAGGAAACTACAAAATGTGGGTGATTTTGTAATAAAATTAATTTTTTAAAAGACCATTCTTTTGTCTTGAGTAAATTGAGTTTGATAGTTTTTCCAAACTATCTGAAGTCTCTCATTATTTTTTACTCTAAATGTTTAGGTATTTTACTTAGTATTTCTTAACATGTTTTAAACATTCTACAACTGATAGAATTTTGGTTTCTGATATGTATAAATTGAATCTTAAAAGGCTTCAAGTATTTTCTGTAACATTTGCCTAAAGAATGGATAGCTAATTTTACATAACTATAAAGGAATAAATGGACTATAGTGGGTATTATGAATACATATTGTATTTGCATTTAGTCTGTGAATATGTACTCTTACTTAGTGTAGGACTTTACTCTTCTGGAACACAAAATTTAGGCTGAGAAGCCAGAATGTAGCTAGTTCAGGAAAAAAATATATGTATACACACACATGTATTGCATATATACAATCAGTGTTAATAACTATAAGTAATAGACATTGACCCTTGGGAAATGAAATGATTATTTAAGTCTATATATCTTCCAAGACAGAAATATTAATCAGAAGAACACATTTGTCTGTTTGTCCTCTGTTTATATTCTATTATTTTTACTTTTGCTGTGAGATGCTAAGTCCTTATTGAACTTTAGACTGCATTTTCTGAATTACTCATTTCCATTTCCCCCCTCTCCTTTTTAGTGGTCTCTCATTGCTTATCCTCAAACAACAAGGTATCACTTCCCTGCAGTTCCAGTCTCTGAAGGAAATCAGTGCAGGCAATATCTATATCACTGACAACAGTAACCTGTGTTATTACCATACCATTAACTGGACAACACTCTTCAGTACCATTAACCAGCGAATAGTGATCCGAGATAACAGAAGAGCTGAGAACTGTAGTAAGTACACGTTCCATAATTTAAAACAGTACTTTCTGTTCTTTTTTACATTTTACTATATACTTGAAAATAACATCAGAATTTTGCCTATTAGCCCAATGTTGGATGATAGAGAGGTAGTACAAGTATCAAAAATGTGCCATAAATCATCAGAGATGGTGATGTTTATAGCATATAGTCTGTCTTCACATATTGACCAATGTCAGGAAACCTCATCTGGAGATTTTGATGCCCAGATGCTGAGGTGATGTCAAGAGGGACCCTTCCCCCATTCCCATACTCACCATAAGTACTCTTATCTAAATCTGGGATGAGTGTTAATTTTAAAATGCAATCCTTTAAATAGATGGATTGAAGTTCAAAATGATTTTTAAAATACTCACACACAAGAAGAAAGACCTTAGCTCATCCATAAAGAGTGACAGTGGCTTGAGAAAACTTCCCCTTTTAAGTGAAAACCATCAAAGCAGGCATGATGATTTGAAGGGAATGACATTGAGAAACAACTGTGGGACATGAAAGACTGCATCACTTCCTGCTTCTCTCTCCCATGCAGTGCTGATACTCACAGAGTGACAGTTCTGTGGGGGGAAAAGTTCTAGTGGATTCTTCATAAGTCATTTGAAGTTTTCTAAAAGAAAAAGAATAAATTCTTATATACAAACAGTATAAAGATGAATATTACCAACTCTTCAAAACCCATGTTAGTTAGTTTTATTTTTTAAGCTAACACATTTCAGTGCTTAAAAACTACTATGCTTACGTACTTAAATATAATTAAACAAAATTTAATTATTGATTTTTCAATATGGGAACATCTTTTCTAAATTACAACCCTACCTTTTTCATTATTAAATATGTAATGAATAGCTATGGTTTTATATGCCAGTAATCTAAGAGAAATAGGAAATATTTACAATTTACATGATTAGGGTTGAGATTGAGTCATATTTATTGCTCATTGAACATTTATATTTTTTCTTATATAGTACTTCATTTTATTCATGCCATTTTCTATATCAACATTGGTGATTGTTGTCCTTTTTGGCTTCTAGATTTGAAAAAAGCACTCTGAAATTTTAATACATTAATTTTCTTTTTTATATGTATTGTGAATAAATCTATGCTTTCAGATGATTTTTAACTTTCTTATTTGCTAATTGAAGATTTTATGTTTTTATCAATTTAAGAGATTAGGTTTTCTACATTCTGTCTTGCTTCTTATTTCTGTATGTTCAAATATACTGTAATTTTTCGGCATATGAAAGGTTTTGTAATATCTTTTAATATCCCATTAAATAATATATTAAGCCAATATAATTTATTGACTAATCAGTTTCTCTTCAGTTACAGAAGTTGGTTGCAATATGTTGTATGAAATGATAAGCTAAGAACATGTCAGATTGTGTTTCTTAATTGATGTATGTGGTTTAATTTGTTTACAACCACCCTGTAAGTTGTAGCAATATCCATGAAAAGATTAGCATAGCAATATCAAGAAAGATAAATAATATCCCCAATGTTTTGAGCTACTAACTATAACCATTGTTCAAACTACTGTCTATCACATTTCAAAGACTTGGATGTTCATTTCTCCATGAAACTGTTCAAAAGAAATTATTGCAGTCCACCAGCTTACTATAATATATTCTGTATATTTTTGTCAGGATCACATTTGTCTTAGTACTTGTTTTATGTTTTACAGCAATAAATAAATGAATAAATCTAACTAAAGCCGGGTACTTTATAACATAAGATTTGTTTAGTTTACATTTTTGTTGGGGATAAAAGTCATAGAATAGGTGCATTTGTCAGGGTTCTCAAGAGCAACATAACTGATAGAATGAATCTACATATATTGAAAGGGATTTCTTACAATGTATTACAGGTTGTGGTCCAGCTGGTCCAACAATAGCTGTCTCCATTGGAAAAAGCAAGAATCCTATATCTGTGCAGTTCATTAGACTGGATATCTCACATGATATTCAATATACAACGGAAAACTTAAAAATGTAGAATCTGGTACTAGTGAATGAAGGCTGTCTTAGGGTTTTACTGCTGTAAACAGATACCATAACCAAGGCAACTCTTATAAAGATAACGTTTAATTGGGACCATTTTATAGGTTCAGAGATTCAGATCATTTGTGGGTCCCTCGTCTGGAGCGCTTCCCACGAAGATCTCCAGCCTGGCAGGGTGCAGGGGTCCAGGCCAAGGGGATAGAGTGTGAGCAGGGAGGGGGAATCACCACCACTGCCTCCATTGCTGCCTCTGCCCGCATCTCCGCTGTTGCCACCCAGTTGCTCCCAGTACTGCACCTGTCTCTCTGAGCTGAGCTGGTCTGGGCTGGACCAGTGAAAAGCGGCTAGCTAGCAAGAAGGGGAGGGTCCTGAATGTGCTTCAGGAGAGCAGATCTCTTCCCAAGTGTTACAGCTCTTACAACAGAAACTCTCAGATAATGGGATGATTCTCCCACACTTCTACTTCTCCCAAAAAGGGCTCATATATACAGTTTTGGGATGGCTTAGGGTCTAGCAGCAGATAACCCCTATTGGCTTGGTCTCAGAGCCTGGAGAAACCTAATCTACATGTGGGAGAGCCTGAGGCACTGTTCCTAAGTGACTCATGGCCATAGACCTCTTTGTGGGAGGGGCTGTGAGGGGCTGAAACTAAGTGAAAGGAACCAGGGGCACAGGATCAAGGCCGAACACCTAGTGACTGATTAGGGTCTGGGGTTTGAGGCCTGTGCTCCACCAGGCACCCAGCTGCCTCTCACAGCTCACCACCCCACAATCATTGTCACCAAGGTGGATGGCAACATCAAGGTAAGCATAGTGGAGGAGGAACTGAGAGTTCTACAAATTCATCTGAGGGCTGCTAGGAGACTTTCTTCCAAGCAGCTAGGACAAGATTCTTAAAGCCTGTGACCACAGGGCCAAATGTACTTCAACAAGGCTACACCTCCTAATAGTGTCACTCCCTGGGCCATGCATATTCAAACTATTATAAAAGCTCCCACTTCCACACAGTGCCACCCTGATAAAGTTCACCCCACATTCCCTTCCCCTTCTCCTCTGAGAAATGGAGGAGCCCCTGGGTACCAAGCCACCCTGACATACCAAGTCACTGGAGGCAGAAGGAAACAACAGAGAGAAAAGTGAGTAGAGAGATCGGAAGGTGGGGAGAGTCAACCCAACATGTTACAAAACTGCCATAAAGAAACTTGTTATTTTGTAAGATAATTAAAGCAGCATGTAGATAGATAAATAAATAAATAATAAATTGAATTTTAAAATAATAAACACCTCAGTAAAACTAGTGCTACCTATATGTTTGTAGTTTTATGTCCATTCACTAGAGTATGAGAAAACGACCAATGCCCATGTCCTGACTGGGCAATAAATTCCTATCCTCAATAGCCATCAACAATAGCTCCTTGTATATGAATGAAACTTAGGAGATTTTCTCCCCCATTACAGTTGTCTTGGGCCAGGGATTATTTATATTTATCCTTTTCTTTGACTGAGGTAACCATTTCTTCTCTTATATCTTTGATACATAGGATCTACATTCCATCTCTTTTATTTTTTGATAGGCTTGCCTCTGCAGCTCCTGTTCAAGATGTGTGTGTGTGTGTGTCCCTTCACTTTTATTTTCTTTAAATCATTTGATTTGAGTCCATTTTCATCTACAGGTCTTGAACTCTTTTATTCATGTACTTCCAGTGTTTATTTTCTTCTGGGTTTTTTTATGTTCTTTTAAAGACCTTTATCATATTAATAATGGATATTTTGAAGTCCATGTCATGTGCTTCAGCTATCTTGAAATACACAAGGCCTGTTGTAATAAGGTTGTTGAATCCTAATAGAAATATTTTGTCCTGACTACTATTGATTGTGTTTTTATCCTGATATGTAGACATCTATGTTTGGAAAACAATAAATTCTAGGTGCTGGTTTTGGGTCTTGTGTTTGTTGAGTGGGTGCTTTGTTCCCTATTTTCTGCTGTCCTTTCTGGTATGGTGACTGTATGTTGCCTGGTAGAAAATTCTTCTGGAATCCTCATAGGTGTTCTTAACGAGGTTTCCAGGTAAAATGTTTCCTAGATATTGGAAGTTGACACTTGGGAATAGGAATGGTCTGGGAGGGGATTAGGGGGTCCATAGAAGGGAGGAAAGCAAAATATTCTACCAGAATCTTCTTAGTGCCTTGAAAGTGGAGTCAGAGAGTGAGGAGAGTCTGTAACAGATAATCTGCTACAGAGCTGATGATGAAACTGGGAAATTTTTTAGAGGAGCAGAGAGAGATCTGAAGAGCTACAGTCAGACTATCTGCTTCCCTTGTTGAAGTAGCCTGTGGGTTTCCATAGAATACTTACTGGAATTGAGGACTAGATAAAGCTATGAATGAGGAGTGAGGGATGGAAGTTTAGAAGAGGAGATAGGCGTGATCCATTGGAGGTGGAGACATAGGGGTGGGGCGACATTTTAATGAGTGACAAAGTACTTTAAAATATCCACAATATAAAGCATGGGTAATGCTTCAGAAGAAAAATGTGCAGTGATGCTAAATATTTTGGTTTCGGTGGTTTTAGTTTTTAGGGATTTTGATTGATTAGTTAGTTGGTTGATTTTGGTTTTGTTTGGTTTCCTTGTTGCTTGCTTGCTTGTTTGTTGTTTGGATAAGTTTTAGGAGGTGCATAAAATACTAAAGAAATGCAGTCATGGCTTATTATCCTTGAGGATCGGTTCAAGAAGTCCAGAACAACTGCAAAATCTGTAACCATGCATTCTCTGTTGCATAAAAAGGCAGACTATTTTTGTGAAACATATGCACATCCTTCATTATGCTTTAAATTATATCTAGGTTACTTATAATGTTTAATTCAATTTAAAAACTGTGAAAATAGGTGCTACAGTTTTGTATACAGGAGATAAAAAATGAGTAAAAATTGATACATCATCTCAGTCCTGTTTACAATAAATGCAGTTTTTGTAGTTT